CTCACAGCCCGGTGCAGGCGCCTGGCGCGGGCTGGTGGCGAGGCCGGAGGCCGCTCTGCTGTGCCCGGTGCTCCGAGGGCAGCAGGGTGCCCGGGGCGCCTTGTCCCTGCTGCCCCGAGCTGCCCTCAGGTTAAAGTAGGCTAGGCTAGGCTCGGCTGGGCTCACGGCAAGTCTCGGCTCGGTCTTGGTGTCGGGCTTCTAACATGGCTACGTCTTCCCACTGAGGGTGGGGAAGGTGTAGGAGCGGGAAGGCGAGCGTTGGATTCCTCCTGGGGAGCAAGGGACAGACGTCCGGACCTTTTATTTGCGCCAGGTTTCTCTTGGTTTCCCTGACCGTAGTAAGAATATATGTAACAAAAATGCTTCTGGAAAACTCCACAAAGGAACAAAAGATTATTTCGGGCAACAGTGTCTGGAACTGCTGGCAATATTTCCTGCCTCATCTTCGTTGCAGTCAACGTATTTTCAACGTGAACAAACGTGTGACACTGAAGACACGAGTGGAACGCTTCCGGTACTGCCACAATTGTTTAAAATTTATTTATTTTTAAATAGTCAGATTTGTAATATTAAATGATTGCTTTTATAGCAAAGTAGTTACAAATTTAAAATACAAACCAAAAAAGAGAAAGATCAAAAAGTACGTGGTGTCCTCCTGACAGAAGATTCAATGCTAGTGATTACAGCATGATGCTCACAGAGCCCCTACTCCCAGCAATAGTTTCTGTGAGAGGTGCTGCAAATAATGGAAAGAAGAATCAAGTTTCTCCTCGAATGTTAAGAGTTATTTGATAGTTTCCAGTGGTTAGGCAGAGCAAAGGTGCAAAAGTCCTCTAACGCTTGTTGGCACAGCCAAGTTTGCCATCCCCTGAACGCGAGTAAGACAAGACCTAGATCAGATTCAGAATTTGATGTGGCTTCATCCGGAGGCAACCTACCTCCCGTAATGGAGAGCGTCCCTTATGTCTTCGCCAGCTGGAAGCCTGTTGAGCCTTAGTCGGCCAACAGCCTTTGAAGTAATTAAACAATTCTGCCTCCAAAGCATTTTTCTCTGAGCCAAATTACAGGCATTAGGATAGCAGCAACGTTGGCTTTGCCAGCCAGGACTAAAATTAGGTTGCGTGATTTATTTTACAACTTGTTTGGGTGCTGACAAATAGTGCCAGATCTCCACGGATTCCCCGAGCTGTGCTTATGTGGGGGAGAAAAGCCGGAGGAGAGAAAGGCAGGAGGGTAGAAGAGTGTCGCCGTTACTTCATCGCTGCCGTGCTTTTTTTAACGTGCCGATGCAGCCCTGCTAGCAAGAGGAAGGACATTCTGTGAATTCTATAGCTATGAAATTTCTTTTTAAATAAAAACGTCTTTAAAGTTCTCTTCCACTAAAGGAGACTGGCTTGTCTCATGCAACAAAACATAAGCTGAGAAGGAGTGTGATTTCAGCCTGTAAAATACATCAAGAGAGTAAAGATGGGGAAGGGAGAGGACCTAAAGGGTCATGAATATAAAATAGAGCCTGCATGAATTTTTAGACTGGAAATTGCAAGTCTTCTAACTGCTGAATGTCCTGAAGAAATATGTCAATAGGAACAGCAGGAGACAAAAACTATGCCTTTAAAACTCGGAGCTTGATAATTTTTTAAGGCATTTTGTAATGAGGTTGCTGGTTGGAAAAGACTACGTTCGTTGACCCAAGTGGTCCTTTCTCAGCTTGCAGTTTTCTCAAAGCAAGTGATTTTTTTGTCTGCTTTCAATAAACATTTGCAGTATTTCAAAATGCAAAATATAAAATCTCTGAAATTCATGACTCCTTCATGATGAGGTTCAATTTTCTGTATTGTTTGCCTTAACAAGAGAAAAGCAATAAAGAGCAAAATTGAATGTATCTTTTAGGATTGAAGTGCTCCCACGAAGAAGCCTTGATTTTGGTGAGGCTTCTGTAGCTAAATGACAAAGAAAAGCATTTGGGTACGTGTGTGTACAACCTACCTGAAAGGAGGCTGTAGCGAGGTGGGTGTCGGTCTCTTCTCCCAAGTAACTGGCGATAGGACGAGAGGAAATGGCCTCAAGTTGCGCCAGGGGAGGTTTAGATTGGATGTGAGGAAAAATGTCTTTACTGAAAGAGTGGTTAAACATTGGAACAGGCTGCCCAGGGAAGTGGTTGAGTCACCATCCCTGGAAGTATTTAAAAGACGGGTAGACGTGGTGCTTAGGGACGTGGTTTAGTGGTGGACTTGGCAGTGCTAGGTTAAATGGTCAGACTTGATGATCTTAAGGGTCTTTTCCAACCTAAACGGTTCTGTGATTCTAAGTGTAGTTCAGAACAGCAACAGTGTTTCACGCTAGCTTTCTGCAACCTGCGGTTGGATCATTTGGCGGGCAAAGGGCCGTTGAATCACCCAAGGCGCTCGTTGGGCGATTGCCCCCGTGGCAGCGGGCTGGTGAGGTGCCCCTTCACCTCTGCTCCGGGCAATCCAGGACGGTGACCGGAGCTGCCGGATGTCACGCACCTGCTTCAGCTGCTCTGGGGAGGAGTTTGAACACTCATTTTCCCAACTGTAAACTCTTCATTTCTCACCCCAACGTTACGGAAATGGAGCGCGTGGGGGGGGCTTGAGCTCACGACGCGGAGAAAACAGCGACACCGAGACGTCCGAATGCCTACGTCAGAGGCACGGGCGCAGCCGGCTTTCCTCAGTCCCCTTCCTCTGAGGTGGGTCCCAGCGAAGGCCCTGGGCCGCTCGGAGCCTCCGGGGCTGAGGCAGTCCTGGGCTAACCCGGCGCCGG